TATATAAAGAAACACAGGATGTCTTAGTTCTTAATATACCAATAATTTCAAGAAAAATCTGGTAATGCCTTCATTTTACAAAGCTACAGATCTTTCTTTCCAAAATAGTTAATTTCTTTACCTTATCTCCCAGATGAGAATCATAAAATTTCAAGTATTATGAAGAAAATGGAAGTCTTCCTATATTTCTACTCTCAGGAAGCTTTAGAATTTCTGTACGAGATTTTGGAAATCTTAGTTTTAAACCTGAATTTCAACAATAAATAACAAAGAAAATTCTTGCTTTTTCAGACTGTATGGTTTACTTGAGATAGACCAAGGAAAAGAGTTTGGAGAGAGAGAGAGAGAGAGAGAGAGAGACAGAGACAGAGTGTGTGTGTGTGTATGATACCATTCTTTTAATTCTTGCAATTCAGTAAGTTAAAAAACATTTTCCTATTATTGCTCTACTTTTTAATTTTTTTTAAAGTTTATTTTATGGTACTGGGGTTTGTACTCAGGGCATACATCTTGAGCCACTCTACTAGCCCTTTTTTGTGATACCTTTTTTTTGAGACAGGGTCTCATGAACGGTTTGTCTAGGCTGGCTTCAAACCATGATCTTTCTGATCTCTGCCTCCTGAGTAGCTAGGATTACAGGTGTGAGCCACTGGTGCACAGCTGCTCCAGTTTTTTAAAATTACTAGTAAGATTAACAACTGCTAGGGCAGGGCATACTGGCTCACACCTGTAATCCCAGCTACATGGGAAGTAGAGACTGGGAAGATACATGGGCCAAGGATAGCTCAGGCAAAAGTTAAGACACCCATGTCAACAAACAAGCCAGGTGTAGTGATATGTGCCTGCTAGGAGAGAGGATCCCAGCTAGGAGAGAGGTGTAAGGAGAAGGATCATGGCCAGGCAGGCCAGAGGCAAAAACAAGAGACCCTATCTCAAAAACTAAACAAAGTATCACTTCTTGGCCTTTTGGCAAGGATCAAGTGTAAAAATAACTAAAGTTAAAAAGAAAAATTGAAAATGGCTATAGTTTTTGACCAAAAAACTTAAGATTTTCCACATATGTCTTTAAATACCCTAAAAGAATATAACCATCCCACTAACTAGCTCTTAAAACAAAACATATTATTTTTACATACAAGAGTGGCTTGTTATCTTCGGGATCATCATCTTCAACTTCCAAAAGCCAACCATACCCTCTTTGTCTCAGAAATGTGGTAGCTGTTGATTCTTTGATAAAGTCTCCACCAAGGTTTAATTTGACATCTGTGGATGCTATAGAACCACTGAGATCTTAGGAGAAAAAAAGGCAAAAGTGAAAACCAAGGTGAATCCTAACCAAAATGAGAATAGAGTCACATAATTATTACTTGACAAGCTCTCTGAATATTTGCTGTTACATACAATCTTCAAAATTATAGCTGGTACACATCTGTTTTTTATTTTGTAAGAATAAAATCAAAGATGAAAGACATACATAAGGTTTCACAGTTAAGTAGCCAGAATCTAGACTTCAAGAGTAACTTTTTAAAATATAAATGGAAGACGTTAGTTTTGGATTCTCTTCATTATATACATTGTGTGTCTCAGAACAAAGTGATTATACAAATTCTTGTACATTCTTTGACATATTACATATATATACACCCCCACACACATATACCATCCATAGACATACTTTATTTACTAGATAATTTTTGTTTTTTTCATATATTTATGCACGTTTTCTTTCAAATGTCATCCCATATTAGTGGTTACAGTAGTTCACGCCTGTAATTCTAATTACTTGGGAGGCAAAGACTGGAAAGATCACAGGGCAAAAGTTCCTGAGACCTCATCTCAACCAATAAAACACGGGGTGTGGTGGCATGCGCCTGTTACTCCAACTACACAGGAAGTCTAAATAGGAGAATCATGGTCCAGGCTAGCTTGGGCATAAAAGAGAGAAAAGAAAAAAAAAAAAAAACCCATGGCCATGCCTGGTGACTTAGCCAAGAGGTCTAAGACCCTATCTGAAAAAATAATAAAAGCAAAAAGGGCTGGAGACATGGCTTAAATGATAGAGCAAGTGTTGACCCGAGTTCAAAACCAGAGCCCTGTCCCAAAACAAAAAAGACAAAGAAACAAAATAAAACAACAACAAAAGAAAACCACCAAGTTTTTTTTTTTTTAAACAGTAGTTTAAATTCTACCTTGGCTTTGGAGAAGTATCATTAAAATTTTGACTTAAGCTTCAAAGAATGTCTCAATTATGAGTCATTTATTTGTTGCAGTTGTAACAACTCCTTGAATAATAAAAGTTTACATTCTGAAGCTGTTTTAGATTAATAACTAAACTATATAACAAATCATTTCTATCTTCTGAGTCTCAGTCGTATTCAAAGTTCTATCTAGGATAAACATTTAATAATTCTAAAAAGTTTTTTGTTTTGTTCCTGATGCAGTGCTGGAGACAGAATCCAGGACTTCACATATATGAAGCACCTGCTCCTTAAAAAGTTTTTATAAACAGGGCTGATTGAGTAGATCAAGTGATGGGAGCTCCTGCCTAACAAGTTTGAAGCCCTGAGTTCCAGCTTAAAAACCCTTGTACCATCTTAAAAATTTTTTTTATATAAGGAAGTTCACTCAGCTAAAATAAATATAAATCGCAAATAATTTGTATTCACCATCTTTTCTTACCTAAAGATTAAAAAATATTCCCTGCAAATGCTGCCACAATCTGGTAGTTAAAACAGTCTCTCAAAATTACTTTCTGGGCAGGCGCCAGTGGCTCACGCCTGTAATCCTAACTACTCAGGAGGCAGAGATCAGGATGATGGCAGTTCAAAGCCAGCCCGGGAAAATAGTTCACAAGACTCTACCCTGAAAAAACCCATCACAAAAAAAAAAGGCTGATGGAGTGGCTCAAAGTGTAGGCCCTGAGTTCAAATCCCAGCAACACACACACACACACAACTTTCTGCTTCTCTGTCTTAAGTTGACATTGAAAGGTGAAATTTAACTAAAATCACAATTCTAGTAGGTACAAAGAGCACTTTTTCTTGATTTAACAAGAGGAAGATTGAGATCAGGAAGCCAAAGCAGTGACATTAGAGGTTTTGCAATTATGAGGCTAAAAAGGACTTTAACAACTGCTTTCTGGCCTCCAGTTAAGGACTCTTTAAAGCCCTTAATCTAAATTTTAAAAAAGGATACATACATTATAAGTGCTAAGGAGCGTTATGTGAAAGAACTGTATATGGTTAGCACTTTGTCACAGCATGGCACCTTAACTTACAAATTCTGTAATACTATTTGTTCCATTCAAAGTAAGAAAACAGCAAAGACACATGTACAAATGTCAAAAACAGCAGTCTGACACAACCCCCTCTACCAACAAAGTCACAAGTAGGTGTGGGTAGGATAAAAGCAACAGGAAACACCAAAAAATTGGTAGTTAAGCCTAACATGTTAACAAATTAAAAAACAAGAATAATGTCAGAGAAAAAGGAAAAAGATTCAGAATTACTTCGGGAGTACAAAGGACGTAAGTCAGACTAGAGTAAGAACCAGCTAGCTTGAATGTCAACTCTGGGATAGTTGTCCTGATGGCAAAACACTAATTTTATTTATTTATTTACTTACTTATTGACATTATGGGGGTCTGAACTCAGGGACTCTTGATTGTCAAGTGCTTTACCACTTCAATCACACCTCCAGGCCTACATTTTCATTCATATTGCTCTGGTTTATGTTTTTAATAGTTTTACTATTCAGCATTGTCAACGAATTTTTATATTATAAGTAATATTAAAATCAACTAAATAAAGGCCAAGTATGGTGGTGCACGGCCGCAACCCGATACTCAAAAGGCAAGATTACAAATTTCAAAGCAGCCTGGGCTACATAGAGGAGACCCTGTCTCAAAAAGAAAAAAAAAA